TTAAAAAAATTTAAAAAATTAAAAAAATTAAAAAAATTTTTTAAAATAAAAAAATAAAAAAAATAATAATAAAAAGAAAAAAAGATAAAAAATCTTTGAAAATCGGTGAAATACCAGATAACTGTGAACATGTAGTGGTGGTTGGTGGTGGTGGTACTTGATTGGGTGGTGGTGGGATGGTGTGTAGGTGGTGATCATTTTGCTTTGCTCAGTCGAAGAGAAGTGGCGGTCGCGTTGTTGGCTAAGTTTAACGTGATGGTTGACGAGTAGTAGTAGTAGCAGTAGTAGTAGTAGTAGTAGTAGTAGAAGTTGGGACGGACGGACGGATTGACGCGCCGAGAGTTTGACAGAAGTATTTGTTCATATCGCGTTGGCTGTTCGATGGATTCACGATGCTCCTAGCCGCTAGAGGTTGAGGTAGCCCGAAGAAGTCTTTTTGAAGGGGAACAGACGGACTGACGGACTGACGGACAGCATCGGACTGTCAACTGACGGACGACTTGGCTCCTACCGGTGACTGGTGGTGACTGATGGTGACTGGTTGGGAAGTTAGTGGGCAGGCAGGCTTTTTTTTTGTTCAGTTTTGATTGCTAGACTTTTTTTCACGGTGGCTGTAGTAGTAGTAGTAGTAGCAGTAGTAGTAGTGGCGGGGAGACGAGCAGAGCTAGGAGCTGACGCTGGTAGAATCTGCAAACGTCAGTTTTAGCAATATAACCATCAAAATTATCATACTCCTGGCCACTATTGGTATACACGAGGTTTTTTTCTTAATCCAAATTCACAAAATTGCATATGTTTCACTTAGTAATGATAATATTATTATCCTAGACTGCCCACTCTAATGCGTATAAAAGACTTTACTTCCAGCTGATTGATTAAATTTATATGATGGATGTATAATATCAAGTTACCTTTTATGTACTTATCGCAACGCATAATGCAGTATACTAATGTAATATAATCTATATTTTAAAAGTATATAAAATAAAATTTAAATATATAAAAATAATATATTAAAGATATATATATATATAACAATTAGCATAATTAAAAGTTGCTTCAATGCGTATACGATAAATAAACATGATT